TGAGTCGCGTTTTTGGAGAGCAAACTGGGCGACAAGCGAGTGCGAGTGCGAGTAAATAAATAGATGGGCGTTTCTGGCCATTGAGGCATTATAGCACACTCGACCCGTGGACGAGGGCTTAGGATAATCCCCACTCGCATTTCAATTGTATTGCATTTTTATAAATTCTCAATGTTTCCATTCAATATCTTTCTCTCTGACTGTCGTTTGCACCACACTTTCACTTTTTACTTTACCTCACCCACATTGCGATTTGTACTCGAATTAATGTTTTCTCACTCCCTATTCTTGCACAGGCAAATGTAAGAATAAATCTGTACTCTGTATCTGGCATGATTCCAACTATGGGAAATGAAAACTCTAACCTAAATCAATTAATCTAAATAATTCTCAAACGGTTTAAAGTTCCAACAACACAATGTACAAAGTCTAAACATGTTTAAAACTCCTACTTAAACAAAAAAACTAAGCCGAAATCAAGGACACTTCAGTTAAAGTGCTAAATCCATAAGGAAACATCACTAAATCTTCCAAATAAACTAAGAAAAGGTAAGTGCCTGTGGAATTTTTTCTTAATATATAAATGTATAGTTTATTCTATTCTGAGTGTTAAAATTTACTTATAATGCAATCTTTTGAGCACCACTTTCCACTTGAATGAAGTAGTTCAATAAAATCATACTATTGCATATGCTAAACTTTGCTTAGGGAGATCGACTCCACGACGAATTTAACTATAAAGGCAGCTTTTCCACGGCCAAATTCCAAGCGGGTAGTCCGCGACACACGTAAATGCAGCAGTTGTAGATATTCGGTTCCACTTTTCCCTGCTGTACCAGAGATAGGATGGAGCACAGGCTGCCCAGGTGGTAGTTGGGTTGGTCGTTCATGGTGGGCGTGGGTTCCTCTTTTCCTAAAATAGAAAGGTAATTAGTAGCTGTCAAACACTTCAATATGCATCCTGAAGAAATCTTTTAATAAGTCTGTTATGTATAATATCAAAATATGGACTTACCTTTTATAATGCCATTTTTAAGCCAGGAAACCCGATCAATATGTGTCCACGGCATCACCTTGTTATCTCCGGGGGCCAACCACAGACTCAATATTGTCACCGAAACTGTATCCATATTCCCGTCCAAGGCGGGCATCAGAGTGCCCACAACCGAAGGACAGAGAGCTCCGTGGTAATAATCATGGGCTCCATATAATGCGCTGTACAGGCCCGTGCCCAACATGCGTGTAGAGTCGCAACCAAATAGAAAAACCACGCTGCGCACCCGTGCCCGGCAAATTATGCGACCATTGACGTACTGCAGACCAGAACCGTGACCCGCGTATCTAAAATTATAGCCATAAGCATTAAAATGTCATTGTTGCATTGCAATCATGTCTTACACAAAGCAATCCGCCTGGAGGGCCTGTTCCACTATCACCTCCTCGTTGGGCACGGTTTCAAAAAGATGCTGCCACTGGGAGAGCCAGTACTCAAAGAAGCTGCGCAGCCTGCGACCGGAGTTGACCAAATCCGCATCTGGGTTTATTACACACATGCCACGTTTTATATTTGTTGTGTAGTAGCCATGCTTTATGTTTGATTTGTGGTTCTGGAACAAGCGCAATAGGCAATGCAGAGATTTGACGCGGGAGAATTCCTGGACTGTGACTAGTTGTTCCCAATGGAGGTGGTCTAGTCGCTGAACAACACAAATATTATAACTAAAATCAGCCATAGTATACAAATGTAAATACACTACCTCATCGACCACCAGGATGATGGGAAATCTTCTGCTTGCCAGGGGCTGGCTCTCCTCCACCTCTGTCCAGTCGCTGGCCAAGCCTTTGAGCAAGTCATACGCCGACTGGATCTCGTTTTCGTTGCTGGACAGTTCATAGCAGATGAGTTTGAGATCTGTGGGGCTCAGTCGATTGGCATGCAGAGCCGCTTGGGAAAGCAAAACACGTTGGCGGGAACCCCATTGATTAACTAGACAGAAATCGTCAACACGAGTATAGGTGGTATTGGTTTGCTTTTGGACAACAGTGCAGTCGTATCTTTTGCCAAAGAACAGAAAGGAATAGGGAGATATTATTTCCCGAAAGTCGGCGAGAAGTTTCTAAAAGAGGTGGTTATGATGATAAGATACATTGATATAATGTCTAGTACTTACGTGCAGAAAAGTGTCAAAACCATTAAGCTCCTCCCAATACTTCTGCTTAGCCTCTTTACCTTTCATGTTAAGCGGATCCACGGTTACCACTCGCTTAAATCGTTCCACCAGAGTGCTGTACTCCCGAAACAGATTTACCATATTTTCGCTGTAAATTCTCAGGCAAATCGGTCCCTCTTGAGGACTTCTACAGTGACGGAGCAGAGTGAGATATATTGCTCCATCGCTGGCAATAATCTCATTGAAAACAGAGTAGGTGGTGGCGGGATTGAAGCTCTTGCAGAGCTGGAGGACACACCATTCTTGGGGCAGACTATTACATTTGTCTGCAATGCGAGTCAGCCCTTCAGTAGGATCCTGCACGTCCTCCAGAAAGTCCAGGTACTCCGCTATTTCGTTACGTGTCTTCTTTGGCGGTTTCTCCTGCTCCATTTGCTGGAGATACTTGATGATGTTCTGCAGGAACTTTTTGCTAAGAATAATGTTTTTAAAGAGTTTTAAAAGAGTTTAGTTAGGATATACCACCTTTTGTAGTCATTTTTCTCCAGTTTGGAGGCTGATTTTATCAGCTCCTCTATGGTGGGACGCTGATTTTCCAGCTCCGCCGATTCGGTAAGGTAACGCAGATCGGTGGACTGGAACTGGGCCTTAACCTGGTAGTACATTGAGTGCTCCACATTGCCATTGCGATATTCCTCATCCGCGCGCAGTAAATTGTATTCTGCAGGAGAAACATTTGCACGTCGTGAAGTTGCAGTGGGAATTTCACAGTTTATGGGTCTGCTTATATAGTTACCCTTCGCCTCGGGGCCCACATCCGCACTGGTGAAACCGGCCAGCATCTCAGCCTCACCACCGGTTTCCAGCATCTCCTAGTATTTATTATTTAATTTAATTGATTTAATTGCTTATTTTCAAACTTTAGTCCGCACATTCCGTACTCCTCTTCGACCGATAGCGATAGACGCCTGGTAGCCTTTACCAACACTGCGCTATCGATAGGCGATGTGCGATAGGAAACTAGTTCATTGTGTGGTATTTTCTAGTACTTTTTTTGAATTTCGCGGTTTTAATCATGAAGTGGGTTGTACTTAATATTAGTTTAATTCGTAAGTTTAAACAAAAAGTATATAAATGAGCTGTTAGATAAATATATTTGTTTACTAAATCAGTTTTTGCCAACAATTTAGGTACTCCATAAAAAGGCAGTATTACTGAATAATTTTCTTCGACCACAGTTTCAAAATTCATAATTTTAAACTAATTAAAAGTCTTATAAAATTTTATGTTAATAACAGAATAATAATAAAATATAAGTCAACGATTTAAGGCACAATAGCTTTTAGTACACCCTTTTTTGTTGTTTTGCTGTCAACAGAAAGCTTTTCCCTTGTTGATGTTTGTGGCCGTTCATTCATAAAAACATGAATCGAGATGAAAAGGTGCACGAGATTGCAGGTTGGCCGGAAAACAGATGTTAGGGTTGCCACGCCACTTAAATGAGGATGAGCAGCGGAAGCTGCGCATCAACCACACCCTCTCAAAAAAGAGCCCCAATATCAATGAAATATTTGCTTAGGGGTTTTAGAGACTGATTAAAATATATTTCGGCTATTTTCCCATTAAATAAAGTTTTATTCACTTGGGAGGGTCAACCTTTGGCCTTTAATGCCCTTAAGTTTTTGGCAACCCTAAACCACACCCTCTAGTTGCCCTAAAAACCTTACGCAACAACAAAAGCCAAGTACACACATACATATAGACGTCCAATTATTGCATTTGTGAGCTGAGGCAACAAGATGTTCTTTTAAAATTTGGTTAACTTTTAAGGTGTCATTTTTTTACGATTTTCACGTTTTTTTTTTTCAAGACTTCGTGACGTGCTTTTGGAGCTCTGCTGCTGCCTCTGCCGACGTCAGCTGCAAAATGCAGTTTTCTAAAGCAAGCAAGAGATAACGGTATTTAAGCGATATGAGTGGGCGGGCCGAGCTTTGAGGCCACGCCTATTTTTGGATATACTTCTTAGGTATTTCTTGGAATTAAAATTAATATAAAACGGTATTATCGCTTAAGCATTTGTTAAATCTTTAAAAACTATAAAGTGCAAGCGGCTTGAGCAAATAATTACCGTTAGAGAAGCTGCAGCTGGTCGCTGTCTCAACTCAACGAAGGCTTCGTTAAGTATTGAATTGGCGCAGGGGCATAAGGACTTTTTCTCTCTTAGGTTTTGCCTCTGCCGCTGCCGCAGCCGCTGCCACTGCCGACAGTGACTGCGACGCCGGCGTCAGCATCCTTTCTACTTATTAATTTTGATGTTGCTTTTCACTTTTACTTTGTCGGGAAACGTGCTGTTCAAGAACTTTTGCCTGCCGGGCCAGTGTTGGAAAATAAAGGCGAGCTGGGCTTGATCCTTTAATCGGGAAATTCTCGCTTGATTGGCATGATGGAAAAAGAAATCGCACCACACCCCCTCTCCTAGCCCTATCACCAAAACCCCTTTAAATTCACTGCCCTTTATTCTTTATGGTTTTTTGGCTGCATTATTGATGTCTCTAACTCGGCACGTTCGTTGTCCTTTCCGCCTAGCAAATTATAACATTAATATTACATTAACACACACGTACACCGAGTCACACACACACACATATGCATTGGGGAGACATTAAAACTTTCGCACACAGCAGCACATGTAACGAAAGGCCAAAAACAACAAGAGCAGAGCCACCCCAAAAACAAAAAAAAAAACAACAAAAATAGCGAGAGTGTGTGTGAGTGGCACACATTCCAACAGTTGCAGCGACGCCGCGGTCGACTGCGCAGTCGGCGTCGCAGCATCCCTCTGCATTTGAGCGACTCAAAACGAATTTCGAAGTCGACGTCGACGGTTGTGTTTTGTCGCTTTTTTCTTGCTTCCAAAGAATACTAATCTAAACAAAATAAAGCTTTTAACTAGAACCACAAACAAATAGCAAATAACTAAGTAAATAACCAAGCTGAAATAATAACAAAAATCATAGGAAACGTCATTTGGATTAGCGGAAAAACTGTAGCATACTTTGCAGCCCCAGTGGAAAAAACGCCCACGAGGCAGATAAAAACGAATTAATCAAGTAAAATTCAAGTAACAAACATTCCGCAACAAGAAAAGACATTTAAGTAAATTAAGGTGTGGTGATTTATGCAACTTTTTTGAGGCACACACGCAGCGAAGAGAGAGGGGTGGAGGGGGGTGTTGAAGCCACTGCACATACCTCTAAGCTAAGCCCACACACACACACACATACACACTCTCGCGAGGAGAGAAGCTGGAACAGAAGCAGAAGAAGAAGCAGAGGCTGAGGGCATACAAAATAAAGGATAACGACGGAAAACCAAGAAAGAAATCGAAATTAAAATATAAGCCTGTGGGAGCAGAAGGAGGAGCGGTGGAGAGGAGGAGGGGGCAGCAATTTTCGGCTGTCGCTGTAATTCGACGCTCATCTCCTGCTCTACTTTGCTCTCTTTCTGCGCTCTTGCCTGCTTTCTCTTCTCGCCACTGCTTTGCTCTCCCGTTTCGTCAAGTGAAAACATTTCGTTTGGGCTTCGTCAAGTTTTGTAGGTATTTTGGCTACACGAAAATACACAGCGCCTTCATCCTGCTCGATTTCGTGACGAAAAACGGAATATCTCGTTATTTCCAGTCGAAAATCCCACTCAGACGGACCGAAAATTCCTAAATATAAAGTGAAAAGTGATCATTTAATAATTAACAAAATTGGTTTCGAAAACATACGAAAAAAGCAGGCCAAAAACGAACTATTTTTTCGGTGGGCCGCGAAAGGCGTTGCCAAATCAAAGGCCACAGGATAAAACAACAGATCCGTAACTAAATTTTAAACTTAATCCTAAACGCAGGCACTAAAGCTAGAGGAAACCCCTAACTACAAAAGATAAAACCAACTAAAATATGCAAAAGTTAATCATACGCACCGTTAATAAGCACCAAGTGAAAAACTGACTAAAGGAAAACGCAGAGCAAAAATAAAGGACAAACAAAGGAGTAAAACTCTCCAGAGAAGGAGCCAAAAGCAGCAGCATCAGCATCAGCAAAGAACATTCTGCTGCATAAATAATACACTCGACATACGTATACGCCATATAGGCCAGGACATACCAGCAGGATATACCACACACACACAAGGCGGACAACTCACACATACGGACGGGCAGGACGTGCTCCTGTTCTATTATTTAACTGCTTTCAACGTCAGCACCTCGTTCAACCCGACGAAAGTCGATTGAAAGCCGCCTTCAACGGACACAGCATCCCTCTCTCAGCAAACACACAAAATAAACGGCAAACGAGAGAGCGAGTCCTTTGCTTGCGGGTGTGTGTGTGTGTGTGTTTGTTCGCGACAGCAGGAGCGACGTCAACGTCAATCCGCTCAATATTTATACATTGAACCGAGTCTCCAGGCCCACGAGTCTTGCGGCCCTCACAACGCAGACGCTCCTGGTCCTCCGCTGGGGCCCAAAATAAATAACATCTGACAGCTGCCCAGAATCCTGAATTCTGAGTCCTGAAAGAGCACTCAGCGGGTAGGGGCGTCTAAAGAAGCGGTGCCAGAGCGTGTGGCGATACAATTTCCCTAGGAAAACATCAACCAAACTGAACGCGATCCTAAAGCGAAAACAAAACAATGGGCGCCAAGGAAAGTGTCGAGGCAGCCGCCAAAATGAACGCCGATGGTTGGGGCCATGTGGAGGTGTGTATTATTTATAAAAGCAAAGCAAACAAACTAATAACACATTCATAGGTTCCCAAAGCACCCAATGATATGCTCAGACCTACAAGTAGTAGTAGTAATGCTCATAAAAAGGGTTTCGCTAATGATAAATTTAACATTCGGGCTTTGATTTGTGAGAGGTTTTAAAAAATATACCATAACGTGGATATATTCTCAAAGTAATATAGAGTTGTTACTTTTTTTTCTTGCCCCTATCTATTCTATGTGAATAAGAAATAAGAGCCTCTCAAGATCATCTTGCCGAAACTACCCATAGAAAAGCCCCCCTATTGTCAGCAACCTGATGATCCCTTTCGATATGTCGCTCAGCGCCCCAAAGTGTGTCAGACCGACGATCCCAATTGCAACTTTAATGAGGGCGAAGAGTGGTGAGAGTAGATTGATTTAAAAATAAATTGGACAACAACACGTGCACCAGGCACGCGAACTGAGAGCAGCCGAGCAGACAGTGCCATTTTCCCAATTTCCCATTTTCCTCATTTCATTTTCATTTCCATTCCCATAACCACTCCGGATTCCCATTCACGTTCCCATGCCCATTGTCGCACGGTGGTCCACTTGATGATCGCATGTGCACATGCTGCTCGATTATATCTCTCCGAAGATCTAATCTCTCTCTCTCTCGAGAGAGGGAGAGAGCTTGCAAGCAAACATACATGTTCAAACATGTGGGCGGTATGTGGCGCTCTTGAGACGCCAAGAGATCGGAAGAAAGAGTCAACAAATCGCAGAGATGAAAATTCGTTTTGATTTCGATTTTCTTGCGAGTGCCAGTCAGTTGAGTTTGCGGCGTGCATTTGTGATGTTGTTTTGGCTATTTCAAGACCTCGTCAGCCCCGATCCGTAAACCGCAATTCGTATCGCTTTGAAGCCGGCAACTGAATGGCCAAAACCGATTCATAGGAAACAACAAACAGGTGTCCGTGTGTGTCGCCCTCTGGGTCAACTGATGTAAACAAAAATAGCAATATATTCGTACAAAATCACCTAAATATATCGCTATCATGCCGCTCGAAGTGTGCTTCTGTGCCAGTGAACAACAAATCTGGCGTACATATGGGCCAGTCTGGGAATATTTATAAAAAAATTAATCTACATAAAAATAAATTCTGCTCCATCTCACCGCGGACTTTGCGTTCGCTTTGGAGTGCAATTTGTCTGCCGGATAGGTGTCCAAGAAAATCAAACGTGTATACTTCAAAGCACATTTTCCGCTTTTCATCGCTTGGCTTGAGTTATGCATCGCTTTTGTTTTTGACACCTACACAACTTTTGTGGTACGAAAAGGGAACTATTGCTGCACCAGCGTTCGCACCTCTTTGGCTGACTTGATGATGATAATAAACTGCGGCGTGGGTTGCTTCAGCGGTTTTAACTCTCAGATCGGAGCGCCCAAAGACCTGAAACTTGTTGTGCGGCCCCCGTTGCAGATATTTTGAGTCTTTCTCAGGTTTATTGCCGCTTAAAGATGGTATTTACCACACATCTTTAACTCCCACAGTATCTACTTCGATCGCCTTGGGGTAATATAGAATTCAAAACAGTGTAGAGCATAGTTTGAAATGGTTTATGGAGCTACTTTCATTTCGTAACTATTTAGATTTGTAGTTGAATTACCTATTGAGCACCGTATGAATGGATCAAAGTAATACAAAGTTTACCCTAATGATTCATTTCAATCTCTTGCAGCGATCGAGTCGCTACCACAACCACCGGCACAACCAGCGGTCACAGTCGCTGAATCGCGGACAGGCGCTCTCGCAGGCGGACGTGAGCGGCATGTGGTGACATCGGGGTGCCTCTGGTAAAGGTGAGCTCATGGTCCTTGCCCGATCCCGACCAGAAATTAATAATAAAAAAAAATAATGCAGGATCTGCGGCAAGCTGCGCCAACTGCGCCATGGGTAACAAACTGAGCTGCTCCTGTGCCCCGCTGATGCGCAAGGCCTACCGCTATGAGGATTCCCCCTGGCAAAGTTCCCGTCGTCGCGATGGACATCTATTGAGGTGGGTTATGGTCCTAACTTTCGGAACAGAACCACGCTTCTAGCCCGACTCTGTTTATGTTATCTGACTGCTGAAAACGAGGGCTCCAACCACCAACGCCACTACCAACAACTGAACCACAATTGAATTCGCTCTTTCGATAGCTTATTTCAAACCAACTAATTGTTTCTTCTTCTGGTTTTTCTTTCTTTCACCAAAAAAAAAAAATATATATAAATGAATAAAACAATTTTCCAACTTACGACAAAATCAAAACAAATATACACCTCAAACCACAAAACCAAAACAAAACCAAAACAAAAAAAAACACAAATTGATGCGGCCAAACCTCCAAAACCACCACAACAACTACAAATGTATCCTGCTTCAACTTTTCCTTCCCACCTCCGACTGCAACTACAACTACAACTATAACAACAAAATGTGTTCCTTTGTTTGTTTTACCAACATTCTCCTCTCCAACCCGAAAACTAAAAATGTAACAATTGTGCACCAAATCCAAATCCAAATTCGAATCGGAATCGAATCTGGAAACGACCCACCTAAAACCAAAACCAACTACCATCCATTGCTGTAACTTAATTAACCAACAATAGTTCGTTCAGGTTGTGGGCAGAGGTCTTCCATGTATCAGCCAGCGGAGCCGGCACCGTCAAATGGCAACAAGTGTCCGAGGATTTGGTTCCTGTGAACATCACCTGCATTCAGGACTCGCCCGAGTGCATCTTTCACATCACCGCGTACAACAGTCAGGTGGACAAGATACTCGATGTGAGACTTGTGCAGCCAGGTGAGTGCACATTGGTTGCGCGCCAATTCCGTGATTAACTTATTGGATCTCATCCCCATCCAAATACCACCCCTCGTATAGGTACACGCATTGGCCAGGCATCGGAGTGCTTCGTTTACTGGAAGGATCCCATGACCAACGACACCTGGGGCCTCAACTTCACCTCGCCCATCGATGCCAAGCAATTCCGCGAGTGCTGTGTAAGTATTCTCTTACGGTCTGGCAAAGCAAACATTTTCGCATTGCGACGACAACAACAACCATGCCAAACCCAAAAAATAAATTTATTTGAAAAACAAAAACAGCCAAAAAAAAAATATATATCTTTGTATGAAAATTAATTCAAAACCAACCTCAACTGATACCGATACCGAAAAATATAAACCTCAGCCACCCCCACAACTAATACAGCAACACTAACAGAGTTCGGTCGGCGAGCTGTAATCATGCCCGCCAGCTGGAGCACGCAGCTGAGCCACCAGCCCCGAACCACCAGTAAACCAAAACCAGAACCACCAGAACCACCAGAACCACCAGAACCACCAGAACCACCAGTACCACCAGAACCACCAGTACCACCAGAACCACTAGAACCACAGAACCAAACCAAAAAAAACCGAACCAACCACCCACAAAACACTCATGACACTCACTCACACACACACAGACTAACACTAGAAAACACTGAGAGAACCAAGGTGGCGACCAAGATGGTGACGATTAAAATGATAACGATTATGATTATGATGTTGATGTCGATGCTGCCGCTGACGACGATAATAATGATAATAATGATTATGATGGTTACGAGCCAGTTGATGTTTGCTTTGCATATAAAACCCATCTCTCTAGCCGCTATGTACTCTTAATATCCACCATCAATCTCAAGGTTCAGTGCCGCAAACACTCGAACAATCTGAAGATGATATCATAATTAAGCTCTTCATTCGCTCACTATCACCGCAGAGTCACGGTCACTGTCATAGTCACAGTCACGAACTACGTTTATGCCAATCACGAATTCATTATATTGCAATTTCAAATTGACCATGCCATGTCAATAACTTTCAAGTGATTAGAAAGTTTCAGCCTAAAAACAAAATTCAAATGTCTTTTACTTTTAACACTCAATCAGAATTTAAGTCTGCCGACTAAGAAATAAAGTAATTAAAGTATATTTTAATATACCTTTAAATTCATGAAATCGGCTTTGCATAAACAGAGTTACCATCACCGTCACAGTGAAAATCCCTGCATAGCCAAAACTCTCAAAAATACTCACTTCTACATAACTCGTCCTTGTACTCGCCAATTAGTCGAAACCCTGACGATTTGAAAAGATTGGTTCACTGAAAATTTAAGACAAGTTTTTCGTTCCATTCCCAAATTTGTATTGAGTTGTATGTGAAAGTTTTGCGTTTTTCGTTTTCTAGTTTATGCCCATTGCGAAATTTGGCCAAGTAAAGTATAATCGTAGTATTTATATAGACACGCTCACACACATGAAAACACAACACGCATACAGAGACATGTACCTGAAAATAACATACCAGTGTAGTCAGAAATTGAGAAAGAAAGATAAAATATATAAAATCTTAGAGGAATTTCTGTCCGATTCTAAAGCCCGAAACCTAGAAGACTTCCAAAAACTCAAAAAATGTATATAACCTATCATTCCTTATGGATTTAACGATAAATTCCCTAGAATAAGTTAATCAAAAACTGATAATAAGTTCAGCTATACTTTACCCCTCTGTGGTACTTAATTTCTGACCTACTCACGCATAAAGCTATCATCTGAACAGATACATTTCAAACTGAAACTAGAACTCATCGATAAACACACCCATCATATGCCTATTAATTAATATAGATTCTAGTATATTGTAGTCAGACATGAACTATCTGGACTAGCCAAGTCTAATAATTGTTTCGTTTTCTTTTCTTACTTTGCGCATCATTTGTTGCAGGTGTCTTACATTGTAAAAAAATACGTTAGTATCGCTTCATATTATTTCCTTTCCACTGTGTACAGTGTACATCCAACACAGTCACACCACTGAATAATTCTTGTTTCACCTAAGTGTCGTTTGATCGCCGAAAAAGATAATTACTATAATAACAATAATATCCATGTACAAGTTTACATTCCCCTTAAACGAATATCTCTTTTCTGTATCCGCAATGTCGGGCATGTGTAAGATCCTTCCATAAGTGTTTCACACCACAACAACCACATACTGAGTGTCGTAATTGTTGTAAGCTTTTCTGCTCTATGTGTCCACCCACCACAAGGCCACCCAACTAACGCCAACACCAACACCACTGCCACCCACCACCCACCAGACCCAGTTTTTCACCCACTCTCGTTTTCACTATCAGTGTTCAGAATTCTCACCTGAAGTTCCCGGTCCTAGGACTCATTTGTAAATGTGAATCACAAGTGCGAAGATGAACAACGAAAACTATCCGATAACACCGAACGCAGACAGACACACGCCACATACACACACACACACACATACACACACACACTAAAATTTGTTAAATGTATTTATATTATATATTCTTTCATTTCTTTTTCTCTCTTCTAATCATTTTTCGAAATCATTGTCGAAACACGCCAAACCTCAAAAACTATAAATCCTTCGAAATATTTCATTTTTAATGCATTTCATTTCGTACTTCAATTCGAAACATTTTCAAAAACTAACGATACCAAATGCAAAAAAAAAAACCGACGGATGTTTCTTTCGAAATTTATGAATGATAAACACTCAACTCCAACAAACAACAAACAAAACTCAACAACAACTCAACTACAATAACAATACCTCAAAAAATGCCCCAAATAAAAACATTCTGAATGTACACCTCGATTCTATATGAAATCTATTCTATATATGAAATCCTCGTTTCCCCTACTTCGAAATGCTTTAATTATCTAACAATAATTTTATTTAACTACTCTCTAAATATATAATTATGTATAAATATATTTTCAAATCGATTCGTTTGCATTTTACGTGTGCCACAAACCCAAAAACTGAAAACCCAAAACTAAATTTCCGATAATAACTGAATGAAAATGTCTGAAAAATGTCTGTTAATTAAAAATTGAAATTCGAACGCAATGATGATCGATAATAAACAATGTAAATAACTGTGGAATCGTACAAATGAAAATGCAAAAGAAAAACGCAAAACGCTTTAAAACAATCGCACGTATCCTCTACTACAATACCGTTACCTATCCACTACAATCCGTTTCCGACGAGCCCTAATCCGATCCCCCAATCCCGAAAATCCTGATCCATCCTCCCCCAATCCAAGATCCCACGCAAGTGGGCGGTTTACGAATCGAAGCAATTTTCAAAAAGCCAAATCAGCATCACTCCAGTGAGAGCTAGATTTGATAGTTAGGATCCAGCAGTAGCTGATGATATAGCGCATATATATTCTTGGAGCATCATTTATCGCCTCGAAGGCGGCTTCCATGGAGGTTTCTGAAACCAAATCGAATCCATTCGAATCAAATCGAAAGTAGTTATATTCAAGCAAACGCACATGCTTACAATAAATTGTTCAAGTTAACCCCAATCAAAGTTGTATAATCAAAAGAAATGTTAACGTTAGGCTAAGTAAATGTTCAGCTACTTGTAAAACCAAGCTATATCGCTTAATAAAACTATCAAGTTATCAGTTAGCAAACTGCGCCAAGCGCCCAAAATAGATTAAGTGAAGAACCAACCAGAAGCTCGTTTGTGTACCGCACACTCAACTACTACTTCTTTCAAAAACTGCTTTCACTATCTAGATATACCGTTGTACGCAAGTAGAACCAGGCTTTCAGCACCCAAAGCTTCTGCTTCAAACTCTTCTATCTGCACCCGTAGAAGTTGTAGAAATCGTTCTCTAAGATACTTCAGAACACTATCCTTTCGTTACTAAAAGCAAAAACACACAGACACGCCCACTTCGCCGAGTGCTGGACTCGTGCCACAGATCTCCGAGGAGAGTTAAGACCAGGTGATATACGTCCCAACTGGGTGTTAAATGAGTAGTTAGAGAAAGAGAAGACAGAGAATACATTGAGAATGAGGAGAAACCGCACACACAGAACCTTGTAATCCCAATCAACTAACCTAATGATAGTGCGACGTTTTACAGTCGCCTTCTTTCAAATTTTCACGAAAGGCCTCGTCGTCGTACTCGCTGAAATTGGATCCCCCCGGCAAGGGCAAGGTGAAGGCCAAGCGAAAGCCGCTCAGCACTCCGGCGTCGCCGTCGCGCGTCCGCCAGGAGCCCCAGTGCACCTGCATGTCCGCCGAGCAGTATGCGCGCCTGCGAACCGATCCCCGTGTTAGAGGTGAGATTACTACTCCATAAGATCCCGAGATAAACACAAGACCAGATAGACCAGAAGACATAGAGCCAGAACACATAGAGAGTGAGATCCTGGCCAGAATCGAGCTAGCCCGTTACTTGATTTGATTCCATTTTGATTTTCCGACACCCGAGCCTCCTCAGTTATGTAACTCGAACATTTGCGTACTCAGTGCTTAGCGACTAGGCGACAAGATCCACCGCATCCCCACCCATCAAAACTCACCGCCATCCTCATTGCAGGTTCATCCACTTTGCCGCGTAACGTTGGTTCGCACCGAATCACCGACGTCGACGGCCAGCAGCAGATTGGCTCCGGAAAAGTGATCAGTGCGGTTAGCAGCACCTCGCTGTATGACAATGTGGCCAGCGGTGGTCCCGGAACCAACCAGGGAGCAGGTGAGTCCAATCCCAAAATCTATGTGGAGACGCAGCGCCCCATCTAATTTGAATTTACATCCCATCATTAGATACCTTGCCGCGCCAGATGAAGGGCGGTCAGCAGGACAGACAGGATGTGGCCAATACCGGAGTCAATACAAACACTCCGGGCGTAATTGTCACTGGCGTCGGCAATGTCGGCTCCGATATGTGCGGCCAGAATCACGTGGGCTCACAGGTGGGCAATGATGACCCGGCTGCGTGCCAAATGGACATGGATCTCTCCAAGAGCGAGGGCACACAGGCCGGCGGCGGACTGCACCAGAGCGTGGGCACATGCACCTCCTCCTCCAAGGGCACCGGCACGCGCAACAAGGACTTTGGCGATGATATGGTTAGTTTGTTGTGCCATCCGAAACACTGAACGAAAATAGGAGTCTAGAAAATTATTATTACCTGTTAAAGAGTTTAAGTTTAAGGCTGAATAGGAACCCATTGCGGTAGCACTAGCACCTGCTTTTAGGCCAACTTTTCGCTGTGTGCAGCAAACAAGCTCTGCCATCCACTAACCACCTGCCACACCCACTCTCCGCCCACAGACACGCGACGCGCACTCGCACGACATGCACCAGCACAATGTAATCAACAACAACACACGGCGGAAGACCAAGAGCACCGAGGACATGAACGTGGACACCAGCACGCTGAAGCGCATGCTGAAGCCGATGCCCAGCACCGAGTCGCCGGTGACCTCGCCGGAGATGGGGCGTCGGCGCTATAACTACTACAATGCGAATGCGGCCCAGACATTGGGCCATCCGCCGCACATGCACCAGCATGGAATGGCCATGGGAATGGGCGGCGGTGGCGGCGGCGGAGGCGGTGGCCACCACATCATGAACAACAACACGATGGGCCGTGCCAGCAGTCAGTCGTCGCGCTTCTCCGGCTCGAGGTGGGTGTACTTGTGCCATTTGTGTGTCGGAATTTCACTTACTTAACGAAGTTGTTACTGTCCATCCAGATCCTCGCATGAAATCGGACGCGGCTATCCGCCGCGCAATCTGTACTTGGAACTGGAGCGGGAACGCAGCTGCATCGAGGGTTCGCCGCCCTCGGACAACGTTATGTTCGATAATCAATGCTATGCGACCACTCCGAGCTCCAGCAATGGCAACTCCGATCAGGATCAGTCGTACGGACAGCAGCAATCATCGGGTCAGCATCCACAGCAGCAGCAGGGACCGCCGCAGCGATCCTCGCGCCATCAGCACCATCATCAGCAGGCACCCAATGTGACCCCCACTCCGGGCTCACCCACATCGCGGCTGCTCCTCGAGTACGAGATGCATCTGAGGAACACTCTGGCCAAGGGCATGGATGCCGAGTCCTACAGTCTGCACACTTTCGAAGCCCTGCTCTCGCAGAGCATGGAGAATCTGGGTGAGCCAACTCGATAGGCCCGACAATTGACCATGTTTTTGTTACCATTTTGTTTGGGTTAGCTCTTTATTCACCTTTGTTCTCGTTGTTGTGGTAGCTGAGCATTTTGTTATTCCGTTTCCTTTGCTTCGCCTAATTGAATTTCTTTCTTAATTAGCTTTTGGGTAGTGAAATTCTCTGGGGAACACATCAACCTGTCAGTTAGCCAATCGAACCCAGGTCAGCGGGCTTTTAAAGTCAGTTAATTTGTTTGGGGTTGGGTTGAAATGCCGCGGCATGGCTTGATAATCTGATTAAATGGGAATGAAAATGCCAGCGGAGTGGAATGTTGACGGTTGTAATTGAGAAGGATTGAAAGCGGCTTGAAAAGGGAACAGGCGATTTCAAATGTAAAAGAATTGTAAGCTAAATACTTCATTTAAGTGTATTTTAAAGTAATTGAACTTTTGAAATGGGTTCAGCGGGATTTTTCGTAGAAGTAATATAATTGTCCATTGTCCAAAGTAGTGCCGTTTCAAGTGACCAACACATGCAGCTTATTAATTACATTTAACTTGAAACCTTTTAACTTGATCTTTCGTTTTCTGAAAATGTGCGTAATTTTGCCATATTTATTATCCCGTTCTTTAACAATATACCATAATTGCTATACATGTCACTTCATGAAATGCTCATTCATTACTCTCCTCGCATTGCCCAACGACACATGAACATCAACAACCAACAACACCACGAACAACTACAATATTAACAACCACAACAACCCAACAACAAATCAACAATTCAACAAATCATCAGAATTCGCTGAAAGCCTACCCGGATCGAACCAGCGCAGCCCATATCCACTACGTAGGCGTAAGTAGTTCCATTCCGGATCCGCACGATCTCTTCCAGATTTAATGCTCTCTAGCTCGTACTCATCCGATCTCAGTTCGATGCGAATCGAAGCCATAAGTCGATTGCATTTGCCTGACGTAGATTTTGGAATGCTTTCAATTAGGATTGAATGGTATTTGGAAATCGAATCGAACTAATCCCATTCCATGTCATCTCTTATCCACAGCCAATGCAAAATCTTCCACTTTGCCATTGCCGCCACATCGACCATTGTCTACTATTCGCGATAAGGAGAGGGATCGCGATCGTGATGGCTACTACAGTGATCGCAATGAGTTGATCAGGGAGCGGGAACGCGAACGCGACCGTGGCTATCTATCGGATCATAACTCCAGGTGAGATAAATTGTTCAGTATTGTACTATAGGAACACTAAACCAACTTCGTGGATTAATCTTTCAGTTTCTCCAACTCGCGTTGCGCCTCTTGCATTGGTGAATCGGCTCGGGCCCAGTGGTTCCGTCACTCCGATGGCTGGCGTTCCGGCAGTTCCACTATTGGATCCGGATCGGGACATGGCATGATGACCCAGCAGGTTCCTGGCTCCGGGCACAAACGTTCGCCCTGGGACTCGCTGCCTTCATTGAGACAGGACAGCAGTCTCAACGATTCGGGATACAAGAGTGCTCGTGCCGATTCCCTAGAACAACGGTGGGTTAACAAATCTATTCATACAATATTATATAATATTATATGTAATCATACATTTCAGTGCCGAGTTCATACGTCAGGATAGTTTGCGATCAGAGTATTTGAGCGATCGCGAGTCACGCTACGGAATTGTTCAACAGGCTTCCATCGAGAGCACCGATTCAAGGATGTGCTATCTAACATCATCAGAGGTGAGTACTCTTCTCTGCTATCTCAAATATACAAGTTTCTTATTTGTTGAGTGGATGTGACAAATCATAGTTCTAGATATGTTAAAAGGAGTTTAGTATCACTAGCTTTGCCAGTGACCTCTGAGAATATACAATTAATACATTTTTCGCTGAATTCAATTTTATATTCAAAGGTCTTAAAAGAAAGAGGGATAATTTATAAGCAAATACTTAACTTGCCATTCAATTCGTTATGGATCTAATATCTTTAATAAAACCTATTAAGCTTTAAGAAGAGGTTACTTTAAATGTCTTAATTAATTAAAGCAATAGTGTTTTAGTGATATTAAAGGGCAAATACTGTGAACATTAACATCCAGTTTTAATGCATTAAAGGGAAAGCCCTTCTTCGAAGCCAAAGAAAATAATGCTAACATTTTAGCATATTAAAAAAACTGTGAAAACAATTTTACCGAGAGTAACTTCATAACCGCGCTTCCTTGACCTCACCTACATAAATATTAGATTATTCACCTTAAGCAAAAGTCCCCAGCAAAGTCACTCCTCAATATTGCATTACCCACTCCCAATGGACTGCCACGAAATGCAATTTTCCATTTCCCAGAGAATACATTTTCCTAAGCGGAGCGCTCAGCATTCGTCATAAGCCAGCATCCGACATCAATTGCTCAAATTCAAATTCTCGTTGGCGGCGGAGCCCCAAACTCCCCACTTTCCATCCCGTTACGCCCTTTGACCCCACGACCCGCCCCTTTGTGGGCTGTGCTATTTATAGAGAGCCAACTGGGTCAACAGTAGCAACAGAAGCTGTAACACTAACAGCACCGACTCCTCTACCTTTCAAATGTTAAATCCGGCTGAGCTCAAGCCACTGTTACATCCTTGATATATGACTACTTGTATATATATGTATATTTATATATATATATATATATTTATATAGGTGTGTGGTATTTTATATGTATTTGCTTATTCAAAGCCGAAAAACGGCGCGGCAAATGAGCGGGGGAAAGTCAAATGCAGCATAAATGATATTTTTAGTTGCAGCCCCAAAGCTGACCCAGTTAACGTTGATTAAAAACAAACTGCCATACACACACACACACACACACAAGCTAACACACACACAGTCGAACACCTAGAGAGCAGGGCGACAGGCGCAGGACTCCCAAGCCAACAACAGGATGTAAAGCCCCGAAATACTTTCTCTTGCTTTTCTGATTCCTTTTTGCTTGCTAACTTTCTGGGATGATAGATGGGTCTGCGTTGATGATGAATTTGATGATGATATAGTATATATCCTTCCCCTATCCGCCTACGCCTTCGCCTAGTGGGCGTGGCACTTGCATATTAATTGGCCACTCAAGGAATTTGTCTAGTTAGTGCCAAATTTATATGTCGCCTTGACACTAATGAGGCCTGCAACTCTACTTGCATCATGGTGGAGCACGAAGCAGGAGGGGCATTCCATTGTTACACTGACACACAAAAGGGAGAACTCGATGGTTCCCGCTGATTCTCTACAAGTTTTTCCCCCCGATTTTCCCCACAGGCTTTTCCAGCTTCTCTGCTGCGGCGCATGCGCATTGGCCGTGCTCTCGTCCGCTCGGCTTTCTCGACCTTCTCGGTTCTCGGTTCGGTTTGCCTTTCCAGGCTTTTCAGTTTTCCAGCTGCGAAAGAGAAGCTTTCGGCTGCTTCTGCTGCTCTGCCGATTTTCCCGCTGCTGCGATTTTCCCAGTGCCGTTCGCGCTCCGCTCCGCTTGCCGCTGTCATTGCTGCTCTGCTGTTTTGCTGTTTTGCTGGCGATGCGCTAACTTTTGCTCTGTCGTTTTATAATCAACCGAAATTCCGGGAAGCGTGTGTGGGTGTGTGCCTGCGTACGTATACGTACCGTACGTGTGTGTGCGTGCGCGTGCCAGATTTGCAACTTACGAAAATATTGCAATAAATAAAGTTTCCGTGGAAGCCAGAGCCACAGACTTTGCTGTAAAAGAGTTTTTCTCACCCCAGGCCGCCGCCACACTAATGGAAAATTGTGTATAAAAAATTGTTTTAAAATTCAGCCATCGAGCGGCAGTAACTGCAATTTTCTCTCATGTACATGCATACAGCATGTGTGTGCGAGTGTGTGAGTGAGCGGCGCTCCAAAGTATGCAACGTGTGGAAAAATTCGCTTTATTGCAATTTTGTTGAACGTGAACGATAGACAGCCAAATAGCAAGCAGAAAGCAGCAACGAGCAGCAACCAACAGCAACCAGCAGCAATCAGCAGCAACAACAATCAAGCCTCAGCCTCAGCCTCATCCTCATCCTCAGCTCAAGCAGAACTCAACGCGACAATAATAATAACAATAAAAGGAGAGCTACAAGCACGTTAAGCAAGTAAATGTCAATAAAAAAGGGCAAAAGCGGCCCAATAATGTCAGACAGTGAGTGAGTGTTTTATGTGCTTTTGTGTGTCAAGCTGCGATTAAACGCTTGGTTAATCCCCCCCTTAAGGCCCGCACAAGTTGCTCAGTTACCCAGTTATTCAGTTACTCAGTTGCCCGAAATGAAAACAGAATGGGATGCCCCATTCACATGATAATAAAAGTAAAACTGTCACACAACACACAGTGCGTATGCGTAATGTTGTTAGGTTGACGGGAGGGGGCATCGTGGCGTATGCGTGATGCGAGCACAAATCTCGGACTAATGCAGCTTAGGCCAGCTTTCAATTAGTTCCCGGCCGCAATCGACAAACTGCACAAGTAAGCCTCAAGAAAAGGTTCTGTGCAAAATAGAGCAAAAACTTGGCCAAATGCGATTACGAAGAAACCACGTTTTCCCCCGTCACGTGTGTGTGTGTGAGTGTGTGTGTACGAGTGTTTAAGAGTGTTTGTATGCGTAGATGTTGTGTTTTGATAAGACAGCCAAGTTTTCTATCGCAAATGTGTTTGTGGCCGCCGGCGATGTGATGCCTTTCTATGGCTGCCCGAAAAACGGCAACCATTGATAAATAGGAACGGTGATAATGATAATGATGAAGCCATTAGATAAATTCAATGAGAGTGTAGAGGAAGGGCGCTCTGAATGGTTTACTATTCCCAATTGATTCGCAGGCTAAGCCTGGCCATTAGTGACACTTGCTCCCAGGCACGTTTCCGTCTTGTGATTTCCTTGCCAGCCAGCGACCACTGTACTCGGGCGCTGAGCAAACACAAACACACAGCTGAAAGTGCTGGGCAATGTTTGAATAATGTAAATCGCCTGCTGCCAGACTTAACATGCCGCTGAAAGCTTCGTGAAAGCTTTGCTGTTAAGTAAGCGGGCGAATGTAGCAGGAAAATTCGGGCCAGAAGGGTCGAAAACGGGGGGGTGGGCAGCTGTCCTTTGAGGGGGATTTAAAAGCTTTGCGCTGTCCACAGGATGTGGCAATGTGGAGAGCAGGGGAAGAAGGGGAAAGTTGGTCCAAAGGATATGCCAAACCGGGCTGCTGTTAAGCTCCTTATGAGCCCCTGTAATGGGAGAGTCCTGCCGATTAACGTGGGCAAGTGTCCCTGGCAGTTGATGAATTTTCAAGAGACGTTACCCCTTTTAATTGTGAATTTTTGATACAATTCTCTCTGTCTACCTCCCGCCATCTTCATCAGTTCCTTAGACGTCATTAGTAGCTGAAATATTGATAGCTTTGGATGGTTGGCCTTTGTTGACATATTTTTGCTTGACTGAAAATAGTTATCGTTGCCAGAAAATTTCTGCTGATAATATAATTTGACTAAGCTGTCAGTTCATTGTGTGCACTCAACATTTTTTCTCGCCAACAGCACGAAAGTTATGACACTTTGGCAGGCCAAACTTTATTTTTCTCCACTTTTTATCACTTTTTACATTTTATTTTTTATTCCTGTTACTCGTAGAGTAAAAGGGTATACTAGATACGTTGAAAGGTATGTAACAGGCAGCAGGAAACGTTTCCGACCATATAAAGTAGAAATTCAAAATGTAGAAATTCAAAAATGTTCAAAGACTGAAGTTCTAAAGTCCATAACTCAACTTATCTTAATCGGATTTTGAAGTGGCATACCTCTAAATGTTTCTGGAGCAATTCTCTAAAGATCTGCATTCAAATTTTGAAATTAAATTTTTTTTATATTTTTTGTCATTTTTCTGATGTTATGATGTTGTAGAAATTCAAAAATGTCCAAAGACTGAAGTTCTAAAGTCCATAACTCAACTTATCTTAATCGGATTTTGAAGTGGCATACCTCTAAATGTTTCTGGAGCAATTCTCTAAAGATCTGCATTCAAGTTTAGAAATTAAATTTTTTTTATATTTTTTGTCATTTTTCTGATGTTATGATGTTGTAGAAATTCAAAAATGTCCAAAGACTGAAGTTCTAAAGTCCATAACTCAACTTATCTTAATCGGATTTTGAAGTGGCATACCTCTAAATGTTTCTGGAGCAATTCTCTAAAGATCTGCATTCAAATTTAGAAATTAAATTTTTTTTATATTTTTTGTCATTTTTCTGATGTTATGATGTTGTAGAAATTCAAAAATGTCCAAAGACTGAAGTTCTAAAGTCCATAACTCAACTTATCTTAATCGGATTTTGAAGTGGCATACCTCTAAATGTTTCTGGAGCAATTCTCTAAAGATCTGCATTCAAATTCAGAAATTAAATTTTTTTTATATTTTTTGTCATTTTTCTGATGTTATGATGTAGAAATTCAAAAATGTCCAAAGACTGAAGTTCTAAAGTCCATAACTCAACTTATCTTAATCGGATTTTGAAGTGGCATACCTCTAAATGTTTCTGGAGCAATTCTCTAAAGATCTGCATTCAAGTTTAGAAATTAAATTTTTTTTATATTTTTTGTCATTTTTCTGATGTTATGATGTTGTAGAAATTCAAAAATGTCCAAAGACTGAAGTTCTAAAGTCCATAACTCAACTTATCTTAATCGGATTTTGAAGTGGCATACCTCTAAATGTTTCTGGAGCAATTCTCTAAAGATCTGCATTCAAGTTTAGAAATTACATTTTTTTTATATTTTTTGTCATTTTTCTGATGTTATGATGTTGTAGAAATTCAAAAATGTCCAAAGACTGAAGTTCTAAAGTCCATAACTCAACTTATCTTAATCGGATTTTGAAGTGGCATACCTCTAAATGTTTCTGGAGCAATTCTCTAAAGATCTGCATTCAAATTTAGAAATTAAATTTTTTTTATATTTTTTGTCATTTTTCTGATGTTATGATGTTGTAGAAATTCAAAAATGTCCAAA